AAACGAGTTATAGTTAACCCCCAAAAATCAATATTATAATACCTATAGGTAAAATGCGTTTTACGATCCGTACCGGTTAAAATGGGGAGTAGTTCCACAATATCCCAGTCCTTTTATAACTGTTCCACACCTACTCACAACACGATAAAAACAGTATGATATCACAAAACTACGCACTATGCAAAGCCGTAAACAGACAACCACTAAATGGCCAAATTTTCCGTTGCTTCTTGATTCGTACCAAATTTCATTAATTATAACATTATTAGTATTAACCACTGTAGTGGTAAACGTCAAAAAATTACTATTTGTAGTGGTAAGCTAATTATTACGAACCAGTTGTAATGGTAAAATTATCCATGACGCAGAATTGTACAATTTTTAACTATTTTGTTATAATCCGTGCTACTTATAGTAGTGGTAAATTTAATTTACAGAGTATACCATTTCGTAGTGGTATGTATCTCTCATTTAATATTAATCCTAATAACATTGTCCCTGTTGTAGTTAGTCAAAGTCACTTTACTACTACAAAAGTAAAATAAAAGTAAGATAATTTTTTTCGAACGTCATTATTTTTTTATTGTTTTTTAGGCTCAGATTTCCTTTATTTCACCCGTAAAATGGGTTACACAGAAATTTGTTTGTTTTTTTTTATGGAAACTACAATTTATTAAGGAAATAATTATAATTACGTTTTTTAAAAGCATAATTTTTGAAACGGCTTAACCAAATGTCAACATATTAAATATTTTTGAATTCAGGGACATTGTGTCTAGTATTTTAATATGACAAAATTTGTGATTCCATATGGCAAGTTGTGTGAAATACTGTTTAGGAGTGGGTACTCTTTAGATCAGGTATTGAGAGAAAGCTATCCAGATGTATAGAAGGACAAATAATTATTTGATGCAGTTTAACAGATAAAGAAGGAATTTTTACCAAATTTCAACAAAAAAGGATAAAGACAACAGTAAGTCAAAGTTCTTAAAACGATATAAAAACTGTTTAAATTTATTGTGGAATCCAAGAACTCCATTTGTGAACGTAATGTTGGCAGCAGGCCTTGCAATTTTTTTTTGGAGTTTGCAAAGAGTGCCCAATATTTCAAAGGACATAGTTTGCGTGAAAGTTGCTTCTAAGAACTTATCGATGCAGCTGCTTCTTCATCGCGTACAAATGTAAAAGGTTGAGAGGAAGCTCAAGAGTGCAGGAACAAATATTATACATTCTGTAAAACCCATCACGCTCGAAAATGTTCTTAAAATTACTTGAATGACTTCTTTACATATATAGTTTTAGAGACAATATATAATTTGAAAACAGGGAATAATGTGTAATTTGAAAAGCCATACGTTTTTTTACTTGAGGGAGTTCTAATTCTTCTGAATAGTTTTCTTTGTCATAAAGACCAAAACGGAGACTCATTTAATACATTATTTACGATAAACTCCTTTTTATGTACTAGAAATCGCTTAATATTAATAAAAATATTATGAACTTACGAAAATATTAATCATGTCACTTTTTTTTTCATGCAGACTGCAATGTTTAACTTTGACCCCTTTATTTTGGGACACCCTGTATATTGAGACCTTAATAAGTGATGTTATTAATAAAAAATTCACTATTTTTTTTTCATTTTACGACAAAGCGCTTAAAGTTACTGGTAAAAAGTAAATAATATTTGTATAGAAAATTGAACTTGCGATAAAAAAGATTTCATGCATTTATCCAATAAAAAATACAGAGTTTAAAAGATAAAGAGCATTTAATAAATTTTACTGTCAAATATCGATAATCAATAGTGGATAGTAAAATTTATGAAATGCTCTATATCTTTAAAATTAAATTTCCTATAAAAGTATTTTATACTTTTTACCTGTACATTTAACCACTGTTTCGTAAAACAACAAAGGGTTAATTAGTTTATTAATGTTTGAGAGTAAAATTTATTAATTGCTTCATAACTTTTTTTGTAGGAAATTAAATTTTTCATAAAATTTTGTTTACCTTTTACCTGTAACTTTAATTGCCGCGTACAACAGGACTAATTATTTTATCAATATTTGAAAGTACAATTTATTAAAAGCTTCATATATATATATATATATATATATGAAGCTTTTAATAAATTGTAGATATCTTTTACATACATTTTACTTGTATGAAGTTAAATTTTCTATAAAAGTCTTATGTATTTTTTACCTGTACCTTTAACCGTTTTGCCGTAAAACAACATATACAGTGTGACCACGGATGGACTTAACTATACTTGTAAAATATTTACTTTCAATTTTACGAGGGAAAGTCGTTCTTAATAATTTCCTTTGCTTGTTATAAATTGGATTCGCTTTGAGAAACTTCCATTTTGACAGGGTGAGCAAATCAATTCAAAATTAAAAATGTTTAAATATTTTTTTTCTCAAGCGCTAAATAAAGCTAAATAAAAGCTGCTGGCAAAAAAATTTCTGGGTGTCACGCCCAAAATCTATTTTGGACAAACGAAAAAATTTTTTTGGGGTATCATTTTTTTGCATTTACCAATTTTTTATAATTTAATAAATAATATATGTATACATAGCTTTTTATGTACAGGCAAATTTTAAAATTTGGTCTGCGCCGCAGACAACGCATAGCGGAAAGGTGCGGGCAGAAACAATTTGTATGAGTTCCCGGCCTCGATGGAACAGGAGGGTATACAGAAAAATTAATTTAATAAATTAAAGTATAAACAATTAAATAATAATAATATTTATTTAAATATTTAATTTCATGCCTCAATTTGCCTGAATTAGTAAAAAATTTAATAGTTATTAGTGGCTGCTTTTTCACTTGTACCATGGAATACCATGGTATCCCAAAATTTAACAGCCAATTCTTACGTAAAATTGTCATGAATCCGAAAATGTCGTCAAAAGTTAAAAAAGTAGAACAGTTTTTGAGATATAAGGAAAATTGACTATATAGTCAATTTTCCTTCTGGAATTGACTATAATTAAATAATTTTTGACGGTATATTTGGATTCAGGGGACAATTTTACATAATAATTTCCTGTTAAATTTTGGGATACCATGATATTCCATTGTTAACCATGGTACAAGTGAAAAATCAGCCACTAATAACTATTAAATTAGTCATTTTTGACTTATTCATTTTTGTAGCCTTAACTGTTTTGCCGTAAAATGCAAAAAAAAATGTTTTTTATAAAATGACTTCGGTAACGTATACACTGTATACAGCCTGTATAATACAGGTCTTAATATATGAATTGAAGAGGTCGGGGCAATAAGGGACCTAAGCCTCATTGGAAAAATATTAATCAAGCAAAGTTTAAATAATGATTCAACCCTAAAATTTGTTATTTTGATATTGTAATTAGTTTTTATAAATCATTTAAATTTTATTTAAGGATATAAAAGTTTAAAAATTTTTTTTCTTTTTATTTCAGGCTTTAAATAAACACTTTAAACCGTGTATACTTAATATTTTTTTAATGAGGAATAGATAATAATAGAGGAATAGATAATATGATATCTATTAGATATACCTTAAGGTAATTATTGCCCCGACCTTTTTAATTCTTTTAAAAAGAATCTAATCATGTACAAATTTCACCTTAGTAACGTATAACATTAAATTGATAAAAAATTCCTACTTTCCCATATCATCTCAATGGAAAAAAATTAAAATCAAAATAAAAGTACTACCTAAGGAGTAAAATTAAGGGCTGAAACTTTAAGAGAATTTTATTCCCAATATGTACATCAATATTTTGCTTCGGGAGTGATAAAAAATGTAAGTTCCTTTAAAAATATATACATTCATTATTGTCTTAATATAACATTGAAAACAAAAGACCTTTATAACAGATTTTATTATTTTTTGCTGTAATCTTAATGGGTGTTAATAAATTTTAATAATGTAGGTCTAATACCTCACTGTTCCTGTTACCAAAATATTTGTTGATGCTGCGGCACACATTGTGGTAGAATAAATCTTTTTAATTGCCAGGAAAGAATCCAATGAAAACAGAATATTTTTCAGGTGAAATAACATTTTTGAAAATATTTACGATATGCATTAAAAGAATGTTCCGCATGCAAGGTATACCTATTCAAAATAGGACGCAGAGCCGCCATTTAGCAAAGTATAGAATAACAAACGAATAATCTTTTAATGGTGACACATGACTTATTTACATAGTACTTAACGACAATCTGAGCCTATTTATTGCCTGCGTTGTTTACAAATTGTCACGATGATTATAGATAGAGCAATGAAATGGAAAATTCCTGGTTTTAGGATTAACACAAAAAGGTTACCTACCTCAAATATTTCAATTTCAATAAATAAATTAGGTGATATTTTCTGCAAAATATTTTTAAATGTATATGTTTTCCTATGGGCACAATATTTTTAAAAATGTTGTTAAAAGTTTTGTCAGGAAAATTTCAGATAAGTAAAAAACAAATCAGTTGATTATCCCTTGATACGATATATTAAAATTCTTGTGTGGCCATGTTCAATTTATACCTCTGGAGTGCGTTCGAAATGAGAGTGATATGGTATAAGGATAGGTATATAATCAAGTGAATTTACATGACCTTGTTATTTTCGAACGTCGCGGAGCATATATATACCTATAAACTTTATACCTATACCTATAAACTTTATACATATAAATAATAAACATTGTATTTCAACCATTTAGTTATATGGTTTATTCAAGTTTATGTGATACATTTTTTTTGGTTTTTAGTGTTGATATATTTTAAATAATTTATTTTAAATAAATACTTTTATTTTATTGTATTTTATCTTAATCTTTTTATGCATGATTTTTTTAACAACATTTTAACAAGTGGCAACAGTGTAAATATTTAGCCAGTTGAGTTATTAAAAAGTATAATATTTTGATAATTTAAATTGTTTTAAACAAGTATAAGTGACTTAAAAAGTGTTTATGGAACTGAGCAGTGGCGGCTGGTGCTTGTTAAAACTGGGTAGGCCATCTCCACAGTTTGCTTGAGGGGGGGGTTCCCTGAGATCAAGCAAGGGAAGCGGGTAAGAAGCCCGATTTTTTAAAATGGACGTGATCAACAGTTTTTAAATAGCCAAATGGCCAAATAGCTTTTAAATTAGCTAAAGGCCAAAAACTTTTGAAGAAGAAGAACAGTTTTTAAGCATGCGACCACTCATTCTATTCTGTAACTTTTCCTTTTAATTTTAAAGTTCTTTAAAAAATTTAATTTTAAAGGCCAGCTAAAATTAATAAAGGAAACTGCTATTCGGTAAGCAGTTATTTTAAAGGTCCCTTAAAAAAATAATTTTAAAGGAATCGTTTAAAACTAAGGTGACCAACTCTTCTGAAAGAAAAACCAGAACTTTTATAAAAAATCTGTATTTATTATAAAATGTTTACATGTGTTTCTATTATAATGCTATAGCATAATATTATTACAAATTAAGATTTTTTAAAACTATATTTTTCTTGGGAGTGAATTTGTTTTATTAGTACTTCATTTTTTAAGCATGTTTGATCGAAATTAGTTTTAACAATTAATAATGATTTTAGCGAGATTTTAGTGTTTCAATATGCAATTGTAATTTGTCTTTTGTCCAAAAGTTGTTCACATTGGAAAAAACTTTCTCTACAGGACTATATATTTAAATTGAACAATTGTTCAAGATAAACACAACAATATGGGTAATTCTTTTGCATTTCTGCATTAAAGATGCATTTTCGTCTATGCAGAGGCATATCATTTAGAGTATACAATATTTAAATACTAAAATAGTTCCGAACTATTAGTTCGTTTGGGGAGAGCCAAATGAGATGTATTTAGTGGGAGTAGGGCGAGCAGGGTTGCACGATTGGGCGAAAAATCTGGCAAATTGGAAAATATAATTTTATGTTTATGGCTTAATTAGTATTGTAGGTATATGTAGGTATGAAAACAGAAAAAAAACAGAAAAGCTTTTAAAAAACAGAACTTTTACTTTACTTAATTTACAACCAGAACAAGGTTCTCAAAAACAGTATAGTTCTGGTTAAATCAGAACGGTTGGTCACCTTATTTAAAACTTAAAGCCAAACATTTGGCAACACCGCATTTAAAGTGATTTGATCTATTTGGAGTTCAACTTTCAACGTTTTGTCAGTTTGTGCGCATTTTCTGTTATGATTTATTATTTTTTACAGAAGCGCTGAAGGGCCATGTTTAAGAATTTTTATATCTGGAAATTTCCAATTAGCATCTGGAAATTTCCAAATAATAACTACTAGAATTTTTCAAATAATAACTGGAAATTTCCAATTAGCAACTGTAAATTTCCAAATAATAACTCATGGAAATTTCCAAATAATAATTAGAAATTGTCAAATATTAAGTGGAAATTTTTAGATTTTGTGTATTGTCTTCAAGTCTGAACTAGTTTATAGTACTTTACCAGTTTACCTACTCCGAGAGAGGTACTCCAGATGCCGCCTTGCTTTTGAAAAGTGTAGTTTATTGTGTTAGTTATCAATAATGTTCAATAATCAAGTTATTATTTGGAAATTTCCAGTTGATAATTGGAAATTTACAGATATTATTTGGAAACCTTATTAATAAAAATTATTTAACATGGCCCTTCAGCGCTTCCGTACTATAGGGATGATGCAACTTGAACTCAGCTCTAAAATTGCAAAGACCCATGACCCAGTCTTATAAAAAAAGTATATTATACCTTCTTTCATTTTTAATCAATTCATTTACTAAGCCTTCACCAACAACATCAAAAAAAGCCATTTTGATGTCCTTTAAAAAATAAAGAGACATTTTATCACCCCTTTAAAATAACCGTTTTAACGGGCCAATTTAAAGGATTCCTTTAAAAAAATAAAGGAAAACTAGTTTGGTGAATAGCAAAATGATATTAAATGCCGTTAAAATTTTAAAGGGCTTTAAAATTTAAAGGAAAAGTTAGAGAATAGACCTCAAAGGGGTTAAAAAGTCGAAGTTTTCAGAAGTTATCATATCATCAGACAAAACACCACGTCAAGTGCAATATTAAAAACAAATAAATCTGAACTTAATAGGCGTATAGGAAATGGCGAAATAACTTAAAAATAAAATATGTCCGAGGTATTCCCCAAATATCATATCATCATCATATCATCAACTTAATAGGCGTATTATACGCCTATAATAGGAAATGGCGAAATAACTTAAAAATAAAATATGTCCGAGGTATTCCCCAAATATCATATTTAAACTAACTCTGCCCAACATAAACATATATTTTCAAAATGATCTTAATACAAAAGCAATGGATGTTTATTTGTCAACTATTACATTGGATTATGACTTTGTAGCTCTAGTGGAAACTTGGTTGTGTGAGGATGTTAATAGTGCTGAGCTATTCCCAGATAGTTATATTGTGTTTCGCAAAGATCGTTCCTTTTTAGAAACAAACACTTCTTGAGGAGGTGTTGTACTTTTTGCGTTTAAGTCTGTATTTAATTTTATAACACTAGATTTAAAGAATTTTAATGTTCTTTTTCCATTTATAGATATTTTAGGTTGTATATGTAAATTTAAATCTTTAAACTTGTTTATTTATGTATTGTATATACCTCCACATGTCACAGCAGCTGAGTTAAAATATTTTTTTAACTTTTGAACAACTTGTCGTTGATAATAATAATATATTAATTTTAGGATATTTTAATGTAAGCAAATATTGTAATCTAGATAGTGGTGATAAGAAACCAAGTTTTATTAAAAATGGAAAATATTTTAAATATTAAACAAATAAACAATATTTTAAACACACAAGATCGTCTACTAGACCTAGTTTTTAGCAACCTTAAATGCGAAGTTTTTGCCGATAATTTACCTTTTGTTAAAATTGACTTATATCATCCAGCCCTAAGTATTAAATTAAGTTTAGTCAATAATAAAACTTCCATTTTCATTTCAAACTCTCAATGGTGTTTGCGCAATAAGCTAAAAATGAATATTGAAAAGTGTAAAGTTTGTTCTTATTCACTTAAATCTAACCCCATTGCTCACAACTACTTGTTTGATGAATCCAGTCTTTCACGTGTTGTTTCTACAAAAGATCTATGTATTGTTTTTAACCATAAACTCTCGTTTGTAAATCATATAGATAACATATGTAAGGGAGCATTAAAATCACTTGGCTTTATCATACGTAATTGCGGCTATTTTTTAAATACAGAAGCCCTAAAGTCTTTATACTTCTCCTTAGTACGCTCTAAATTGGAGTATGGTTCTCTTATATTTTATCCTATTTACAAAAATCATATCAACAAAACTGAAAAAGTACAAAGACGGTTTGTAAAGTATTTATTCTTAAAATTTAATGGTATTTACCCCCCAAGGGAAATTGACCATGAACTTCTTTTAACAGAATTTAACATTATATAATGTTAAATTCTATTAAAAGAAGTTCATGGTCAATGTCTAAATAATAGGAAATTTTTAACAAGTCAGGTTTTTCTTTTTAAAATATTACATAATTTAGTTGACTCTCGCTTATACTTTCCAAACTTTAGTTTTTAGTACCACGTTTAAATTCTAGACAAAATATTATGTTTTATTATATCTTCAAATTATAATAAAATATGTAACTTTTGCGACATAAATAGTTGATCACTTAAAGAGTTGATTTCATGCATTTTTTATATTTCATCTAGTTTAATATTGTTTTTTTTAATATATTTACAATTTATTACTTAAAATGAATTGTAATTCTTATCCTGGACCATTCCACGCTTAACGGATAGGACAGTTGCCGTGTTTTTATTTACAAAATAATATTGTTCTATTATATTACCAATGTCAAATTTTTATAAATAGTTCTAAACAAAAGCTGTTTAACAAGGTTTTTATTTGGCAAAATTAGGTATCGTGATTGACTGTTTAATTCCTTAAAAATTAATAATTTAAAGCGTAACGGGCGGGACTTTGTAATAGCCAAATAAAAACCTTGTTAAACAGCCTTAGTTTAGAACTATTTATAAAAATTTGACATTGGTAATATAATAGAACAATATTATTTTGTAAATAAAAACACGGCAACTGTCCTATCCGTTACGCGTAGAATGGCCCTCCTGTAATTGGATTATCTGTTGGGCAAATAAATACATTATTATTATTATTATTACTTTTATTATTATTATTATTATTATTATTATTATTATTATTATTATTATTATTATTATTATTATTATTACTAACAATCAGCTATAAATTGATTAGGGGAGACCGGTATCAATTGTAACAGGTGTCAATTGAAACTTTAAAGATTATTCCGCCATCTGTGAACAAAAAGAAAATGTATTTATGTTGACATATGCTGTCATTAGCACCTCAGGTGGCAGCATTTTGAATTGTTAACGAAAAAGCGTGTATTTGTGAGACCAGTCCAAGTGATTTTTGAACTAAAATGTAAGTATCTTGCACAATGATAAATCGGTGATAACTAGTTTATTATTGCCCTGAATTTGTCCTTAAAATATAAAGATTAAGTTTAGTAGGTTTGCATGCTGTTTGAGAACCGGTGGTGTCAATTGTAACAGCCTTGCGGGTGTTAATTGTAATATGTTACAATTGACACCGTTTTAAGTAGTTAATTCTTTAATTGTTGTAGTTGGTTATCATCCCCACAATAAAGTTTTTACCAACAAACAGTATCTAGAATTATACAATTACTGCACAGATTCTTCCAAGCTATATTTTGGGCTTTCGCCGAAAGATTTACGAGAAATATCATAGGTACCAGTTTTCCAAAAAAATGGGTGTAAAGTTCCTGAGGGGTGGAAACTGAGTCAAATTGCAAACGAGGATTGGCATACAGCTTTTTTAAAACGCAACCCAAATTTGTCAATACGCACCAACCAAGAGCAAAGAATTTTAATCAGGAAAATGTCAACACATTTTTTAATAATCTTGTTGATGTTTTAAATAGATATAATGTTGAACCAAATAACATTTACAATGTCGATAAAACCGGGTGCACTACGGTTCAAAAACCCAATAAAATCATAGCCAAAAAGGGTGTAAAACAGGTGGGTGCAATAACGTCGCAGGAAAGGGGTACGTTAATTACAGTCTGTATAGCTGTAAATGCACTAGGGAACAGTATACCACCTATGTTTATCTTTTCCTTAAAGAGATATCAGGAGCATTTTGTAAGAGATGACCCGCCCGGTTGCATTGGAACTGGAAACAATTGTGGTTGGATGCAGGAAGAAGATTTCTTACTTTTTATTAAACACAAAGCCAAATGAAACAAACAGAGTCCTACTTATTTTAGACAACCATAGCTCACATTTATCTATTGCTGTTTTCTAATTTTTGCATAAAAAACTACATAACATTACTTTCATTTCCACCACACACATCACATAAATTACAACCCCAAGATCGAGGAGTTTTTGGGCCTTTTAATTTTTTTTTAATAATGAATTCGATCAATGGATAAAGATGAACCCTGGAAAGCGAATACATATTTATAATATTCCCACCCTCGTAAGAGAAGCTTTGCCACTAGCTATAACACCCAAAAACATTACTGCTCAGATGCTCAGGAATATGGCCCCTCACAGGAATATCTTTACTTATGATGATTTCGCACCTTGTAGTGTAATTGATAACCCATGGGTATATCAATTACACTACAAGGTGCAAAATCATCATTAGTGGGTGCACTGAAGAAGTAGAAGTAGAAAACCCTTTAGAAAATCCTGTAGATTACATAATCGACCATCAACCCAGCACTTAAATCCCTCAACGCCTCCACGACCATTCAATGCTAAATACATAGTACCATTACCTCCCATGAAAGCTGTATACACCCTAGAGCAAATACGTCCCCTGCCCAAGGCAGATTTTACCTATCCAAAAAGGACTAAATCAAGAGTAAAAGGAAAAACAGCAGTTCTCACTGACACGCCTGAAAAGAACATTTTAGAAGAGAGATACAACAAAAAAAAGTATCATCAGTCAAAAAATCGAAAAAAATCAAGAAGATCGCTAAAGAGAAAAACATCCGCGAAGAAGAATCGTCAGGAGAATCATCTGAGGATGATACTTTTTGTTTAACTTGCTGCGGTCCCTACTACCAAAGTAAGGAGGACTGGGTGCAGTGTAGACTATGTGAAGGGTGGGCTCACTCTTCGTGTGCTAAAAACAATTCCCTATTTGTTTGTAATAATTGTGCATCATCAGATGATAACTAACTTTGCCTAACATGTTTTTGTATAGGCCCTACTTAGTTTTATATTTTTAAGTATTCTCTATTTTCATATTTCTGTTTAATAACTTTATTATTTAGACTTTATGCAAATAAACTACCACTTAACTTTACCCTTACATCTTTTCATACCCCTGTTACAATTGACACCTGAACTGTTACATTTGACACCAACATGGTGTCAATAGTAAGATTTGGTTGTTGACCATATTTATTTTTTTAGGATAATTTAATTTAACTGTGCCAAAAATAACCTATAGTATTTTGTTCTCAAAATATGTATACATATTGCTATAGCAACAACTTAATATTTTTTTCCTATAAGTTGATAATTACTGTAGCAGGGAAAAAATTATATTAAATTTTGTTACAATTCATACCGGTCTCCTCTACCTATATTTTTTGGTGAGAGTTCTTTACTTTTTAATTATCTTCAACAGCATCTTTCCGGGACAATTGTCCTGTCAACTTTTCAACTAGGTAAACATTTTTACCGCTTAAATTGTTGGAAATTGTTGGAATATTGTGCAACAACAATAGTCAACGTTTATAAAATAGGAAATAAACCACATGGCAAGCGAGTGAAACTTTTACGGCATTCGCACCCTTGACTTTAAAATATACTACGAGGCAGAGTCAGTCCGAAACCACCCTCAGCGAAATATAGTCGTCACAGATGTTATTTGTATTTATCTCTAAAAGTTTTTTGTTACCTACTTATCAATAAAGTGTACCTACTTAGTTATCTCGTTCTTAAATACAATTGTGCTTTTTATTGACCTTTCACATAATTACGCAAACACCTATTGAAGTGATTGAATAAAATCCAACAGAAATATAAAGGAGGAAAATAATAAAAAAAAGTCTAAATCTTTAAGTTTTGGTCAAAATAAAAAATGTGTCTGTTTATTTTTGTTTCATTAGTGAAATCTAACGTAAATGATTTGTATTTTTTTACCATTAAAAAATAAGATTCTACAATTATTAGTAGCAGGTGTTAAGTCTGGAACATTCATATTCTTTGCAAAGGAACTATAAGGAACAAGTTTCAATAAGTAGGTAATTGTTGCAGCAAAAAAATTATAAATTCGGCAAAAAATCGAATTTTAAACTTTTTTTGAGGCAGTGGAGAGTCTTCACTGGAGACAGTATTCTCCGATTTGTCATAGTAAAAGTCTTAGTAAACGTGGTTACTAGCAAGCAGTAACAAATTGCGTCTGAAATTAAATAATTATGTCCTGCTTGTGGAATCCCAGAGATATAAAATATAAGTGCATAAATACAAAGCATGTATGCTGTCCATTTTCAATTTATCCCATTTAAATGTAATAAAGCGTTTGTTTTTGTATGTTTCTTAATAAATAATATATTTATTTTTTACTACGATCTTAAAATATTAATAATTAAAATACATTTATTAAAAATAAAAAAATTATTTATTTAAAACAAATTTATACCATATTGCATAAAAATAAAACCTTTGTTAATAATAAACAAATTTCAAGCAATAAAAATTGAATATTTATTTATTGTAAAAGTTTGTTTTTTACACAAAACAATGAATTTGTTAATAAATAACAAATTTTAAATAATAAAAAATGTTTTAATATTTATAATATATAGTTGTTCTTCTAAATACGCCAATGTTATTTGTGTTTCCTGTCTTTAAGATCGGTCATTTGATTTTGTACAAAATGACTATTCAATGTCATGACTTAAAGTTGGTTCGTTTAAAGTGTCGATATTGCTAATTAACGTTTGGAGTATGGAGAACAGTGGTTGGCCATCTTTATTTATTGTAAACAGCAGGTTGATAAGAATCTTCTGTTAAAAAAACAACTGACGCATCTTCTATTCTAAAATAAAAATTTGGATATAAACAAAAAATATATATAGCGAAGATCTCTTTATAAAGTTATAACTAAGAATATCACAACAGAATGTAATCATTGCAATAATGCATTAAAAATCACATTTTAGTTGCTACTTTAGAAGTTTGAACCTGATGGTAAATATTCCGTCATAAAGCTTTTTATTTATTAAAATCATTGTTAACATTTTAAAGAAGAAAAAATCTTTTATAAATTACCTTTACAATTGGACACAACATCACTTAAACCGAGATCGATAAGAAAGTCCTAGAATCCATTTTTTACAGGTACTTCACTATAGTATACTTCACAACATAAAACTAAAACTGATGATGCTTACGCGAGGACGCGAAATAAGTAAATAACGTATTTTAGGGCATATGTAGCAAATTTTGCAAAATATATTTATTAATAAAAAAATTATTTATTATTTTTTACTAAACACAGCTTTATTGTAAACAAAACGTGTAACATTTAATAAAGAAAACATATTCAACAATAAACATGTATTTCTTACAAATGCATTATTTATTAATTAAAATTGTATCATTTGTTTTATGGAAGTTTGAAAAAATATATTTATTTATTAAAAAATATGATTTATTTTTAATTAATAGATATATCTATGTTTTAAATGTATTAATCCGTTTGGTTTTTATAAAGAAATATTTATTTCTTTTAAGCAAACTCAATAAAACAATTGGCATATTAAATAAAAATATATTAATTTTGCCGTATTGAAATAATAAACAAATATTTGTTATTCAGAAACAATATTTTTTAATTATAACTGAAAACTACCAAATATATGATTTGTTTATTATAATAGTATGATTTCTCTCAGTGAAGAAACTAGCTAAAAAACTCACGAACTAATGTTGATGTAGCTAGAAATAAATATGCTAAATGCTAAAATTGAAATTCCTTATGTAGCCTCAAGTTCCATTATGTGAAACAAACAGCTAAATATGGTAACAAAAATCCCTCATTGTTTCTTTGGTGGATATCATATCAAGGATACGTAATGTCTTAAGACAATTAATTTATCAACGATAAACATAAATATAACATTATTATACGCATGATTTTTTTAAGGAAACATAAAATAAAGTTTCATGTTACCAAAGTATCCCTTTAAAATTAGGTTTTTTTTTAATCGTTTAGGTTATACAAAATATTTATTTTCGACATTTTGATATTATCTATTCCTAGTTATGGCTCATGATGATTCGGTCATCTATTTGGCTAATTTATATGCACAAGTTTTTTTCGCTTGCGACTGCAAATTTTGTTGAAAATCAATAAATAAGATTTATGTATATTTTAAAATAACATCAATAGCATACACAAATTAAATATAAACTGATAAATTCACTCTACCTACCATCTGCCAGGAACAACCTTACCATAGATCCCGCCCAGACTTCTGGGCGTCACTTAAGTCGTATCGTGGTGGGGACACGGCGAGAAACAAACTTAAATCATCTTTCAGGATTTTTCAGTTTCAGTTACCGTCTATTACAATCTAACCACATCAAACGTAATCGCGACATCTGAACGGTTAATCGGTAATGATAGTTGATGATGTTTTCGGTCCAGCAGCAATTGGAGGCATGCTATTGCTCCGGCTTCTTCAGTGAGTGCGTGAACCCCCTGCTGTCACAAAGATTGTTGAACCACCCTTATTTGCCACAGCTCTGGCTACCGCTGCCCATCAAGTTGCAACAGCCGCGGCCGGAGAAACCTCCTTATTCTTATATCGCCCTGATCGCTATGGCGATTAGTTCTTCCCCAAGGCAAAGATTAACGCTCAGCGGGATCTACAGGTAAGAACTTAGAATTGATCACTTACGAGCGTGAAAAAGCGCTACCTGAGTTAATAAGGTGTTTTGGTCAATACCGGCAGCATGCGATCTGCTCGTATTAAATAATTATAATTATTAAGTATCAATGAATGCTTGTTAAAGGAAATGCAAATACCTGCACGTAATTATTGTCGTTAATTTTCATACATTGTAACTTTTAATATCATGTATTAAAATAAAATAAAAAACTCAACGGTGTTGCCCAGTATACGAGAAGACTGCTAATCTACTCTCTTAAAATGAAATAGTCAAAATTCTACTATTTTTTTTTACCAGCACTTTCTACTAATGAAATAGTCATTTTACTTTTAAAAAGTTTTTTTTACTACGTAAATGGTTAAAGTTTGACTAAGATTAGTCACCATCTTTGACTATTTCTGAGAGTTAAAAGTAACTAATTTCTTTAATCGTTTGCAGCCAACAACAAAGTATTATTTGAATTAAATGCATATAGGCTCCATGGTTAAATGGCCCATAAAAACAAACAAATATGCTTAAAACAGCAACACAAATAATATATTCAACTTTAAAATATTATGAACGATATTTATTGACAAATAAAATTGATTTTTATAAGATCGACTGATAGCCACATTAGTTATGACGACAGCTTGACAAGTGACAGACCTGAGTTCAATCCCCGGCTTGGTCAAAACTTTTTTAAATTTAAATCTACTGATTTGACTATTTCATTCAGTAGAATTTGACTAATTATTAGTGACTGCTTTTTCGCTATGACAATTAGTCAAATATGACTTATAAATAGTTATTTTTGACTAATTTATTTTAAGAGAGTAGCTCTTCTACCTATCGAAGCAGAGATTAAAACTTTAAAAATATTATGTTACTATTAAAACTCCTTTATAAGAAAAAATTCAGAAAAATATATTGTAGGGTTATTTAAAAAATCTTACATTTTCGATTTCGTTAGTTCTTAATTCTTTTTACGTAAAGTGTAATGATTTGTTTGTTTAAAAATAAATTATTTTTGTATCGATATATGTAGTATACTAATATTTTATAATAGGCGCTCTGGGCGGAAAATTGTCTTGTCCTTTATAGTGGAGCGATCTTTTAATAAGTAAATATTGTAAATAATTTATACGTGGCGGGAATTATAATAATTGATGTAGCCAAATTAATGCTGTCCAATCCCCAGAAAACTTCTGGATAGCCCCTTTTAGGTTATATTTATTCTTTGATATATCAAAAAATAAGTAAGCCAGGACTTTATCCTGTTTTCCAATAAAAATAGCGTGGAAATTTAGGAAAAAAATATGTAACTTAATTTTAAACGTGGACACAATTTGGCTCTGGGGTACAGATATAGAAAGTAGGGCATCAATACGACCAAAAATTTACAAACAATATATATATTTATACGAGGTGTGTTCAGAAAATAACGGGAATTGTTAAATTTCGCGGGTTTGGAGGGTCCGATGGTCATAAAATTTTCTTTATTATGTTGGTATACATTAGGGTGTTTCAAAAAAATCGACTTTTTCTTTTTCTTCAAATGGTCGGCAAATTCTTTCAGAGGATGTCAACACAAAGACCTCGTCAAAATTTGAGCTTTGAATTTGAAGATTTAGAGGTCGCGGATCGCAATTTTCTATTTCCCATTTAAATAACATGGGAATTTTTTTTTTTTAACTTTGAAATTTTATACGTCTGAATCAAATCAACTTATGTCAAGGATCATCTTAGATTTTTATAGTAAATTTAACGCTCTACAAAAAAGGTCTCCTATCATTTTTCTATAAATTGATTCCTTCCAGAGTTATTCGAGTCCAAAGTTTGATTTCCATCGAATTTTCGCGTTTTTTTAACATTTATGGTACAATTATCATTATACGGGTGTCCCGAAATCAGAGGGCCAAACTTAAATAGTGCATTATTCGTATAAAAATAACACTTTTTTTGTTTAATAAACATGTATCAAAAAATGCTCCCTAAAGGAGCTACGGCCCCCTGAATAGGAGCCTAAGAGGATAATTTTTTTTTAAACTATTCCTAGAGGGTTGAACATGAACAAATGAATTTTCGGTACCTACTTTGGTAATTTTGACATGCTGAATATAGATCTATGATCAAAACTGTTAAAATTTAATCATAGGCGTAACATTTGGAGGGGGCAAAGTTACAAAAATAGCCCCAACTTTTTTCTGGGTTAATAATTTAATTTTTTTTATAAAATTATGAGAATTTATAGTTTTTTACGAAAAATAGGTACTCTTGATTTGAATTGCTCAGATGCACCATTTTCGAGAAAAATGCATTTATAAATAAATTACTTTGCATATTATACACATCTCATATTTTCATTAAAACTTTGTAGTAGGCTTTGGAAAAAAGTGACGTTTTTTTGTTTTTTTTACAACACTTCCTATGTTTCAGATATAAATATGTGATTTTTTTACTACATGATGCTAAAAGTTGAAAAAACGAGAAAATTCGATGGAAATCAAACTTTGGCCTCGAATAACTCTGGAAGAAATTAATTTATAGAAAAATTATAAGAGACATTTTTTATAGAGCGTTAAATTTACTATAAAAATCTAAAATGTTCCTTGCCATAAGTTGATTCGATATAGACGTATAAAATTCCAAAATTAAAAAAAAAATTTCCTATGTTATTTAAATGGGAAATAGAAAATTGCGATCCGCGACCTCTAAATCTTCAAATTAAAAGCTCAAATTTTAACGAGGTCTTTGTTTTGACATCCTCTGAAAGAATTTGCTGACCATTTGAAGAAAAAGAAAAAGTGGATTTTTTTGAAACACCCTAGTATACATGCCCCCGAAGTATGATAAAAACTTTAGCTGTTTTCATTGTTTACTTTGTCTGTGGCAGCCGCTAAGGTTAGACGTGTTCTATGAGCTCGGCGATTTTTCGTTCGTTAAAAAAAATGGATCAAAGAATTTGTATCCAATTTTGCTTAAAAAATAAAATAATTTCTGTGAAATGTTAACAAAGGCCTTTATTGATTCTACTATAAGTAAAACAAGAGCTAACAAATGGTATAAGAGTTTCCAAGATGGCAGTAAAGACGTTGAAGATGACGAACGCCCCGAACGCACAAGCACATTAACAACCGATAAAAACATGGAAAAAGTGGAAGAAATGGTTATAAACCATCAGAGAAGTCGCTGATGATATTGGTATATCAATTGGCTCATCCCATGAATTCTTTTTCGAATGATTTGGGTATGAAACGCGTGGCAGCAAAATTTGTTATAAAATTGTTGAATTTTGAACAAAATTTTTGGCCAAAAACATGCCTCTGTCTGACTTTTTCCTATTCCCAAAAATAAAAGGGCCGTCGTTTTGCAAGCATAGATGACATTAAAGCGCATCGCTGAAAGAACTAAAGGCTATCCCAAAGATCGAGTTTTAGAAGTGTTTCGAGTATTGGAAGAAGAGCTGGCACATGTGCATAATATCCAATGGGGACCATTTTGAAGGCGACAACATTAATGTAGACGAATAAATAAATATTTGTTTCAAAAAACGAAAATTCCCGATATTTTCTGAACACACCTTGTATATATATATATATATATATATATACAATTGTTCGAGTGAACACAGTGTCGTAGAAACGGGGGTTGCTTTAAGCTTATTGTCCCATACAAACTTTGAGGTTAGGTTTTTGTAACATTTGATGCAATTTTTCGATTAAACAGTTCGGCTACCATTAAAAAGGTGTACCTCTCAAACTTCGATAAAATAAACCGTTTTCGAGATATTCGAGATTATAATAATTGTTATATCGCATTATTTAAAACGATTAAAAAATTATATGATAACTAATTTTATTTTTTAATTGAATAAACTAAAAAGGGCATTCCATGAGCCTCGGGACTTTTTGCCCTGACCGTCACATTACAAAAAATGTAGTTTTTTCAATTAAAAAATTTGTTAACATATACCTTTTAGTCATTTAATGCGATATAACAATTATTGTAATCTCGGAAACGGTTAATTTTATCGCAGTTTGAGAGGTACACCTTTTTAATAGTAGCCGAACTGAGTAATCGAAAAATTGCATCAAATAGTATAAAAACCTAACCTCAAAGTTTGTATGGGACAATAAGCTTAAGCAACCCCTGTTTCTACGACACTGTGTTCACTCGAACAATTATAATTATGTGTGAATATATTTTGCTAGTAAGTGACTGTTCGCAAAATATCACCTTTCCAAGTCTACCGTAGTAGAAGTTATATTAAAAAAACTGATACTTAAGTAACACTTTATCGCCCTGTATCTTTTAAACATACGTAATTAGGAAAAATATTTATTTAGATTTTCGTCTTATTTTGACTTGCTTAATCTGCCCCTAAATTTATGCCACTAAGTTTAGGGACACCTTGTATATATATGTATATATATACATGTCCTAAAAAGTTTTGGTACTTTCAGAGATTAAAAATTTATTGTACAAAATTTTCATAATGTATTTCATTATGTTTTTTATTATGTATTTCATTATAATACATATATGTATATAAATTAACCTAAAACAATATATTTTGAGCATTGAGGGGGGCACTTTAGCCTAAGGTCCGATCCTGTTTACAGTTAAAATGTGCTGTAAGCAACTATATGTTGTGTTGTGATATTATTTTTATTAGTATTATGTCAATTTTTTTTTCATAAATCATAAATTGTAAGAATCCATTTATAAACAAAATAATTTTAACTTCTTTAGTTTTTTGTGATTTTCACACCACCATACCCAAATCTTCTTTATTTTTCATCACACGCCGGGTTATAACAATTATAATTGTATGAGTGGTTTATAATAATTTAAGCTATTAATTTTATTATATTAACCCATATTTAAACGCATACTCAATATTTGGCCTAATAAAGTATTTATTATTGTAAAATTATCATAAATCAGTTAAAAGGCGTATATTTTATTTAAGCTCATCAAGCCCGTTAAGCGCCATTTGTATTTTTTAGATGTGGCCCTGATAATTTTAGAATCCTGTACACTAATGGATACCATTAAATACTTTTATATTGAAGCTTTATATAATTTAAACTTTATTATTGTCAACACTCACTACTAAAATGATTGATTATCGCCTAGGCTGTAAAAATAATTTAGACATATCTAGTGAAGTTTTTTATCTCCTAGTTTGTGAAAAACCGTTTGGACCAATCAAGTCAGTTCTATTTAACCTCTCTTTCTACTTTAAATAATTTTAATTAATTAATTTTAATTATTTTACGTTTTATGTATCGATTAAGAAATAAAATTATGTCTAAAAGATAAAATGATGTATGCCATGCGGCTGAAAACTGCCTTTTTGGGCTTTGCTCATTTATAGGCCTCTGCTACGCGTCGGCCTATAGGTACTTTATGCTCAGCCCAAAAGAGTCACTTCCCAGCCTAATATATTAGTAATTCATAATTACTTCAAGCTTGTTGAATTTTAAAAGATACGAGGAATGCATGCAAACAAATGCATGAGCGGTGTATAATACACCGTGTATTAACATGGGCTAAAATAAAAGACTATTTTTGAAACCAAAAAATCTATTTTACATTTATAACTAAGGCCCGGACTTTTTGGTTATAAAATAGTCAAAAAAGGTAACTAAATTAGGTGACATAATTATAAAATTAGATTAGTATTTTATGTACCTAAATTTTAGTTACTAACATATATGTAATGTATTTATAAATAATAAAAATTGGTTGATTTATTGAATTTGCATTTTCTACATTATAATTCTTCTGTAAATGGCTAAATCTCTTGGGAAATTAAAAATTAAAATTGGTTGATTTATTAAATTTGCATTTTTTACATTATAATTCCTCTGTAAATGGCTAAATCTCTTGGGCAATAAAGTATTCCATTTAAATAAAAAGTTATTGGTAATAATAATAATTATTAGGTATTGATGTCTAAAGTTTTTTACAATAGTAATACAAAATGCACAAAAACGTTAAATGACAATTAAAATAAATCATTCTTTACAAATAATTAAAATATCAAAACACAAATAATCTAAAATAACAAACAAACAAAAATATTAAAGGACCCCTAAACTACATGAATAAATATTTCATATTTTATTTATTTAAAGATTGTAATTATTTGTGTGACGGACAAAATATTGCTCCAATTTTTTAGAAGTGAAGCTAGTGTGTTTGTTAGTCAAAACATTCTTAACCAAAAAATGAGCATTCAATTCACAGTATGTAACTAGCGAATACTTAAATCAAGACAATGTGGGCTGAAGTTAGCTTAGAGTTAAAAAAAGTTGCAAAAAAGTGAGGTTAAAACTGTTTGACAGAAGTTACAAATCAAATAAAATTGGCTTTAAATTCCTTAAAATATTGTGTACGAAAGAGATTTCACTTGCTCGAGAAATCTCCTCTTTCTCCCACTAGTCGCACAATATATATATACTATACTAGTATACTATTGCTAAATACAATGTAAGGGGTAAACCACATCCGGTGATTGTCACAAATATATATATTTTATTATAAATTTATATATTTTAAAACTTTTTTCTCGTCTTTTTAGTTTAATTTATTTTTTTATTAAAAATTGTTTACTTAAAATGATAATTAGGATTATAAGTAATTTTTGTTTTATGGTTGTATTATTATTATGTATTATTTTTATAGATTTATTATGGAAAACTTTCCTTACTACAGAGAAAACAAACAAGGGTGGCAAAATTCTATAAGACACAATCTGAGTTTGAACGATTGTTTTGTAAAAGTAGCAAGAGACAAAGTTTCACCTTTACCATTAAATTCTTCATTGGAAAATGGTGCCGGAAAAGGCAGCTACTGGATGCTGGATCCCAAAGCTGTGAATATGTTCGAAAAAGGAAACTATAGAAGACGAAAAACCAGACGGCAACGAATTGTTGATTGTACGGCTGAATTATACCCACAGGTAAACTAAGTTTATAAATTATGTTTTACATATTAAAAGGAATAAATATATATATATATATATACACACAACCAAACTTATTTAGAATCACCCAGTAATTACTAGAAACATTATCCCACTTAAATAAAAAGCACATTATTTGAACCAATTTTATTACAAAAATAAAGAAAAAGTATTAAATTAAATTTTCTAGAAATTATATGAAAAAAAAAACGTGAATTTCTCTGAGTATAAACTTTGTAATAAATTAGAATTCAGGAAGAAATAATAGATTTTTATTAATTTAATAATCAGTGTTTCCACCTCTAGCCTCAATGCTAGCACAAATTCGAATAGGCATGCTTTTTATTAAGTTATTTATTTCTTTTCTTTAACTTTTTTCCACCCCTCTAAAACTACTTCAACTAGTTGCTCTGCGTTGCCGGGTTGTTTTAACGGGCTCTATTCCTTGTTTTAACCTTATCCATTAAGTTCTCAATTTGATTAAGATCCCGTGAACAATAAGGCCACTAAAACAGTCACACTTTCCATTTCTCAACAGATTTTGACAACTCTGCTTATCAGCAGTGGGGCATTACCAGTCAAAAATTTAAAAAAAAAACGCAGAACACAGTTAAGGGTTATATAGTGCAAAATAGAGTTGGCCATTTAAATTGGTATTTGGAGCATTAAAACTGGAATAATGAAGATTTAGAGAAATGTCTTATTTTCGGGTAAATAATTACAATATAGCAACTCGGACATTTTTTTAATATGGGGCTATTATTGAGACTCTTTACTTTCCTATGCATATATGCATGTTTTATTACGTAGTTTTAAAATTAATTTAGTTATTAGTATACTCTTGAGTTGTCGTTTATGATCTGTGAACTGTTCAAGTGACACACATAATTTATCAGTTTCCAAATAAACAGAAAATATGCCACAAACCAGCGCTAAAAATTAAACGACTACTGTTGAGAAAAAAACACATGTCGGTGTTTATTGTAAATAATTGTCAACATCTTAATTTTATGTCAGCTCCTTTGTATACAAACAACATCTGTGTTTATTTGGTGTTAAATATTAATTTTCGCTTTTTCGGTCCAACTTTTTATTTAATTGGGCTCTAAATAATTACTAATTAACAGAGATTTTATTATTTCATTAAATTAGATAAAAATTAAATGAATCAAAGTAAAGAGTTCATTGTATTAAACTCAAAGTGTATGTTCACTGAATTTATTGAAGCAAATTTAATTTTATTTCGCAAAGTGATTTAAATTTTAAGTAGCCTAAAATATTATTATAGAGTTCATTTAAGATAAAAGAAATCTTGCATTTTAAAAGTTTTCTACTATTAATAAGAAAATTGTTTGAAGGAAAACTTGCTGACTACATTTTTCAAAGGAAATAATGAGGTACACAAATAAATGAATTAGCCGAATTCATTTTATTTTTAGCTTGTTAAACGGTGTTTTCTAACTTATTATGGCCTTTAGGGAAAAAGTTATTGGGTTTTTATAATCCGTTGAAAATGTTTGAATCGGAAAATTTGGCTTTATAATTAACTTTGTTGAATTCAACTAGATATTCATAAGCATTTTGTTTTATGCACCTATGTAAAACTAGGACTGTAAAATTTAAATTAAATAAATTTTTTGATACATAAAATCTATAAAATCTTAAAAAGCTTATACACATAAAATTTACATGAGCAGTAAATATAATATTATAGGTATTGTAGCTGGAAAAAAGTGTCAAATCTTTTATTTTCAACTTAAATGTGTATATAAACTTCCCACATTATAAATATGTCTTATCTTTTCGTTTGAGATGCAATTTTTTGCTTTTATAAGAAAATAGAACTTTTCTCAAGTTTTATGTTTAAACTTTTATAAACCACTCTTCCAGTACAATTACTACATTTCTGTTTATTTCTTAAATAAAATAACTTCTACACTGAGACTAACGGGAAAAATCTTGAACATGTTTTATATTTTGAAGTAAACAACCATTATCGCAAAAACCTTGTTAGTTTTATTGCCGTAAAATATAAACCAAAGATTTAGTTTTTATCTAAGGGGTTTTCTATAATAGTTAAGTTTTTTTGGGATAACCTTAAATTTGTTTTTAAGTATTTATTTATTTTCACATACAAGTAGTAATGATCACCACTTAATGTTAAGTTAAGTTAAGTTTACTTAAAGTGGGTAGAAATGTAATTAAATGGTCCTGTGGAATAACCGGTCGTCCATTTTATAATGAACTTTAGTTAATAGTCGATTCTTACACAGAATTTGTTTTCATCCTATGCACATGTGCATACTTCCTGTGGAAGTATGTGATCCTATGTAATAATTCAGCTCTCTATCGTAAGGAATAAACAATACACCGGTGTTTTGTTGGTTCCCTACCCACAGACTGTGTCCCTACCATATAATACCACAAAAAAAAACTTGGTAATAAACTCCCGGACTTTTTGCTCTCCTAAAAATAGACTGCAGTCCATCATTGAACCCTTTAATTGTTTTATGGATTTTATATTATACATATAAGTTATGGTTTTACCAATACAACGGCGACCATATTTTACACTTGCTGTCATATATTTTCAGAAAGGTTTAAAGTTTAGCTAGATATTTATTGTTTTAATAAAAAAAAATGTTAATAATATTATTATTTTTTGTAGGATCAAGCCATATCTCTAGTCACAAAGAATAGCGAAGTTCTAAGTATAGAAAGTGAGGACCACACATCTGAATCGACAAGAAAAAATAAAAATTCAAGTTTATTTACCATAGAAAATCTAATCAAAAGCAATGAGCCTGGCAATAAATCTGTTTAAATAAATAAATATATTTAACTCAACTTTGAAGTTACCATGTTTTGTGATTTAATTTATATTCGATATAGTTTTTAATGAATTCACAACAAACAAAACTGTTTACAAGCAAATTTATTTTTATGAATGTATGTACTAAGAATTTGGATATTGAATATAAATAGTTAAGATGTAAGATAATTAATACCAATATTTTATTTAATAATAAAAATGACTTAATTTATTTAATTTTTATTGCATTTTTTATTTTAGAAAACGGTTATTGTATAAAAATGCCTTTTTATAGCGAAAACACATGCAAAATAAGTTTGTATTGCATTTTAGAGACTAATATGCGAAAAACTTTAGTCCTGTAAGTTTCAGAGAACTGCTGAAGGCGATCTTTTAATATTTCACTAATAACGTCATAGATGGCGCAGCTATGACTAAAACTTACCTTAACGACTTAAAATACAAATTTTCACTAATTAGAATTTTTATGCATATAAACTTTTATAATAACCGTTAAAATAACCACTAACAATAACCATTCCGTGTAAAGGAAAACTGTTCAACATAAAAATACAACACTAGTTTAACTTTTGAACTTTGGATTACTTAAAAGAACGTTCCTGAAAGTTTTAGAGTAATCTAAAGTGCTTTAATGTTATCGTAGTTATTATTACATAAAGTTATTTCGATAGTTATGGTTATTTTATACTGTACTCGACTTAATAAACTATATTAATGCGTTTTATAAGAGAAATTGAATACTAAAACAATAACACTTAAACTGCTAAACTTTAATTTAAACTGTAATTAACAGCAACTTATATTTAGTCATTTTTATGTAAGCAATCCAAATACACAATTTCATTTAAACATTACAATAACTCGATTTTAATTAAAAATCAAATATTGACTACTTAGCTGTAAACTGTAAAAATAAAGCAATTGTAAAATGCCAAATAAACTTGATTCAGTGTGACATTTCGATAATTAGAAAAGATAAGCTACTGGTAAATATGATGATTCAATCTTGATAAATGATCGAAACATCAAATATTGGCTGAAACATGTGTCAAATAGGACCTAAAGGAAATTTCACGTTTTACAAATTTATATTTAAAGTAGGGCGAGTCCAAAATTAATTAAATTTTAAGAAATTTTGGGTTTGTATGTATGTTAATAAATTATATTTGAACTGCAAGAGAACCGCTATATATAGCATAAGTCGTTTTTTTCGCGTAAATACCATAAATAACTATAAATAACACAACTTGACAAAACAAAAACTTTTCGTTGTTCATGTTATGATTTTTTTATTCATCATGCACCAAAACGTTAAACGACTATGCTCTCTAAAAATAAAATAGTCAAAATTCTACTATTTGAATTAGTACCTACCGGCATTCTTTACTAATAAAATAGACGTTTTCACTTTTAAATAGTTATTTTTTACTACGTAAATAGTTAAAGTTTGCCAAATTTGACTATTTCTGAGAGTAGTTTCTTTAATCGTTTGCGGCCAACATCAAAGTTTTATTTGAATTAAATGCACATACCTAAGCTCCATGGTTAAATGAGCCATAAAAACAAATAAAGATGCAAAAAGTTTAGCTTAAAACAGCAACACAAATAATATATTCAACTTTAAAATATTGTGAACAATATTTATTGACAAATAAAATTGATTTTTATAAGAGCGGCTGATGGCCGAATGGGTTATGACAACAGCTTGATAAGCTTCCCAGAAAGCAAAAACTACTTTTTAGTTAAAATAACATGTACCTATTTCATGTCCCAAACAAGTCATATGTCCGCCCTAAATAACATCACAAATATGACATCCTAAAATAACGTTATTTCAATATCACAATTACGTTATTTTAGGATGTCATATTTGTGATGTTATTTAGGGCGGACATATGACTTTTTTGGGACGTAAAATACATGTTATTTTAACTAAACTTTCTTTTACTTCTAGTTTACACTTCTACAATATATTTAAACCTATTTTATAATGTGTATATACATTTTGTATATATACAAAATTCACTAATATGAATACCTACATTTTTGATTTGATTTGACAAGCTTGACAAGTGACAGACCTGAGTTTAATCCCCGGCTGGGTCAAAACTTTTTTTAAATTTTAATCTACTAATTTGACTATTTCAATCAGTAGAATTTGACTAATAATTAGTGACTGCTTTTTCGCTATGACAATTAGTCAAATATGACTAATAATTAGTTATTTTTCACTAATTCATTTTAAGAGAGTGAGTTGCAAAATATCTTTGAAAGTCTAAATGTTACATAGGTAATCATTTAGATTAATAGACTTAAACCGTTGAGTGAATATTATCTTAATCAATGCTTAAACACCAATATTAAGTAGGTACACTATAATGAAAGTATAAAGGAGATTATATTTGAAGTTTAACAAGAGAAATAACCATTACATAAAGCAGTGGCGGTTTCTCCATAGGAGCACATGAGCACGTGTACCCGAGGGTGTACCCCCATACAGAATTCAAGCGCCTTAGTAATTACACTGTAGGTAAATTTTTAACTCTTGAAATATCGAGCTAAACGCTCGGACAAGTAAACATAAATTTTTGGTCGAAGATTCCAAATCCGTGCTCGGTTTAGCTGTATCAGGTCTAAAAAAGTTTTTCCTATTGGCAATCAGATACGGAGACACACTGTATACAGCACGGTGCTGTTTTGAGAGGTGATTTTTGGACTTTCTGTGAAACCTATTTTTTTTATATTCTTGTTAATTAGGTCATATCTAAAATTTTAAAAGCAAAATAAAAAAAATTTGACGGTTTGAATTGTTTTAATTGGTTGTTTATTAAAAATATTATGCACTGTTTCAATTATCCAATTAAAACTAGAGATTTAATTTAAATATTTAATATTTGCATAACTAAAAAAAAGGTTTTTAAATTTTTTTTTATATATATTACTGTTTTGTTGCAATAAACGTTTAAACTTTTAATCTAACCTTTTACGTATACATTTATGTTCCCTTAATTAATATATCCTTAAAGGTTGCCATAAAACTTAGATCTATTAAAAATTTATTTGACGTTATTTTCAGTATACGTATTCTATAATTTTTGTTTAGTTTTTAAAGTGTTTTTTATAAACAAAAATAAAAAATTGTAGTAAAATTTACGAAGAAATTTATGAAATTTAACTAAGGACCGGTTTATTCATCTTTAGTAAAGTTTATCGGGCCGATAACTTTTATGTCTTAGCAATATCTAGTATCCAAAGAAATTATTCGTCAAATAAATCAAAAATGAATAAATCGGCCCTAAATAAAATGTGGCACCCTTAGAATTATTGTTTAATAAATGTATACTATACATTTAACTTTTAAATTAAAACTTTAAACGTGTATTACAACAAAACAGTAAAAGATATAAAAAATGTATAGACCTTTTTTTAGGAAATTAACTAATCTTTAATCTTTATATGATAATATTTAAATAAAATCGCAAGTTTTAATTGGAGAATTGAAAGTGTGCATACATATTTTTAATAAACATCCAATTAAAACAAAATTAACCGTAAAATTTTTTTTATTTTGCTCTTAAAATTTTAGTTATGACCTAATTAACAAGAATATAAAAAAAATTAGGTTTCACAGAAAGTCCAAAAATCACCTCTCAGAACAGCACCGTGTACAGGAATATTATAATTAATAATATAAATAATATATTTTATCTCTTGTGCCAACATGCCCATGCTTTTTATTTCGTTTAATATAATATCCTCAATTATGCTCAATAAAAAAAAATCAGCAAAAAAAACATTTTCAATTTTCTAAATTATCTAAGAAAAACCCTCAGGGACACGTATTCCTTTTGATCATTTTTTTTTAATTAGGAACTGATGTGTGGGTCCAGCCAAATTAATTTATTTTTATATTTTATACTTTATGTTTGAATTTATACAGGGTGTTTTTAATATCTTTGAATTTTGACCTGATACAGCTAAACCAAGCACGGATTTGTAATCTACGACCAAAAACTAAGTTTACGTGTCCGAGCGTTTAGCTGCGATATTTTCACCTCCCTACAGTGTTATCTCAGCTTAAAGCTGGGGATCCACCAAATCAACACAAGATGACGACATTGTCACCAACTTTTGTTGCCATTTTCAGAAACATTTTCAATAGGTATATAGATATATCACGTTGTCCCCACTAAAGAAATATTTTTACCTACTTTATTTATCGACTAAAAATGGAAAAGTTCATTTAGTGTTTAGCAACATGTGGAACGACTGCCGACATACCGTACGAATGACTAATCGCATCTAATTCGGTGGAGAAGTATTTCGACCTATCTGTAATAGAGATGTAAAAGTAACGAAAAAACTAATACCCGCATGTATTCGTTACTTTGAATGTGACTATTCGTTATAAAGTATTCGTTACTCGTTACTTTCGTTACTATAATACTTTAATTATACTTTACTTATTATACATGCCGCTGCCTAAAGAAAACATAAATTTTGATTACATTTTATTAAATTGGAGGATGTAGGTATAATAACTATAAATAAAAACTTAATAAAAAAAAATTTATTGCAAAAATAAAAACAATATAATCAGTTTGGTTCCAGCTCTCGAGAAGACACGTCGCGTGCCGGAAAGCTCTTGAAACGTAAAAGTTTAAAGATAAAACCAACAATAATTAAAAAAAAAAAGTGCAAACTAATAAGTGAAACAAACATTTTCATAGAGTGCAAACTAAAATGGTGTAACGGTCATTGAGGAGTGAAGTGTTAAGTGATATGAAGTTGTGCCACCTGTCATTGGAGGCTTTTCACTGGACAGACAGGGGAGGTCAAACAAGAGGGGAGGTGGCCATCCGCAAAAAAAAAGCTGATAAGTTACCTACTTTAAGAATATGCATGACCTGATACAAATCTGCAATTTAAATACGGCAGATCCCAGCAAGCATTTTCCGTTATTTGTCACCATTAACATTGCCCGTTATTCATTTTATTAAACATAACATTTATTTTTACTTGAAAATGTTAAAA